GTAGAATGATAGAGCAAACAATTCTCTATAAAATGAAATGTACTCGAGCTCTCTACGATGTTTTTTGGTCGAACTATATCAAATTTACGAAAAGCCCAAAACAGGACTTTTTCAAGTCATTCCCCCCGATGGTCACTGAAGTGACCAAACTACTCTGCACAAACGAGCGTGCGTCTGATCGATCTGTCCATACTATTGCCATATTGGAGTCACCAATACTCTATTCCAGTAGTTATTTGATCAGTGGATCCTCTGAAACTGTTGTGGAGGGTAAAGGGTTAAGATGTTTCTATATAGAGTTGTAGAGAATTTCACGGGCTATCAGAATATATAATTACTTTTGCAAGAACGAAAACTAATGATAATGACATGTTGAAAATACCGGGTACGACTATTTTTTACAAAAACAGATTTTCTGTTAAAACAGCACAACATTGTTAAAAAAATTTTCTATAGAAAAATTAAATCCTACAAACTTTTGAAAACACCATTCGACGCAGTTTGATGTGCTCCTTCACATGAGACTATTCTCAACATATTCTAGGGCGCTGATTCGACTAACTTTCCTTTTCTAGATGAGTATGCTTTCTGGAAATGGTATGTTATGGCAAGAAAAATTATCCGGCGGTATGGTACTTCTATTACCATAAAAAGATAGCCCATGATCGATAGTATATATGGTGAAAAAAATCTCGCTTCTAGCTCGTGTCGCTCTATAGAAACTGAAAATTTATCGAAAAGTAGTGCACAAAAAAGCACTCCAAATATAGCCCACCCCCTCATACTTGTATCATCTATATCTCCAGAATGGTTCATCCGTTTCAGCTGAAATTTTCCGTTTCTTCCTAACTCTGTTAGGGCTGCCTACTGTAAAAATATCAGCCAAATCGGTTGAGCAAGAGTGATCGTGACTTATGTGCAAAGCCTCCTAGAGAGTCTCTTACGTGATTCCCAGGGAGTTCAAGAAAGGTAGAAGAAAACCTTCGCAGAGAGTTCCTAGAGGCTCCAAGTACAGTACGAGGAAGCCCTCGGAGGGAGTTTCTGAGAAGTTTCTGAAGAGTTTCTGAAAAATTCCTAGGAATTCCACGAACGATTATCTAGGAATCCCTAGAGATTTTTCAGGGACTCCTAAGAAACTCTCTCCGAAGGTTTTCTTGTTTTTTACTTGAATTTCCTAAAATTTCCTCCGAAGTTTTTCTCGTATTGTACTTAAACTCTCCAGGAACTTCTCCGAAGGTGTTCTCGTATTTTTCTTGAATTCCCTGGCACTCACGTAACAGACTCTATAGGAATTTCACAATTTGTCGGGTTTCCTTAGAGATTTCTTTAGTGAAAGTGATCCTAGGTCGAGTGTCCCACAGGATAGAGCTTGAGAACCTATGGGAAACTGCATATAATATGGTTGGTGGACCTAAACTCTAAATAATTGAAAACCCAGAAAAATGCTTTTTTCCGAGTATCCGGAAACCCACTAAGATTTTCGGACTGATATCGGAAACTGTTTAAAGGTTTTTCGGACATAAAAACAGGTTTCCAAGACCTCGAAAATCCTCATGGGTTTCCGATTTTGTCACTATATGAAACCTGTTTTAGGTTTTCAAGGTCTAGAAAACCTTTTTTATGCCTGAAAAACCTTTAAAGGGTTTCCGAGATCAGTCTAGAAATAGTGAAGGTCCGGATGCTCAAAACCCAGTTAGATAGGTTTCTGACAAAGCTTTTTTTATTTAGAGTGTATGAACACCACTATAGGATAGCCTCTGAGAACTTATAGGCATCACTTAGGATAGTGCTTGAGGACCAATAGATATCGTAATAGATACAAATAACGCTCGTCTGCAGACTCGCTCAGCTCTTTCTCATAGACGTGCAGTTTCTGAACCATCCCCAAATTCCTTATTTACGTGATTCCACGAATCGAAATCAGCACATTCACACTACATTATTCTGCCAAGTGCGTCTATCTACACGTTTGAGTTTACCATTCTGAGCAGAAAGTTGGATTCATTTTTTTCCAGCACTGTGGTGAGATTAGTAAATTTTCTTATCTGTTACTCTTGCCATCTAAATATCATCGCCGATCATAGATGCTGGCTTTTACCTCGAATATCTGTGATCAAGTTTTTTATTACAATATTTAGAGTTAGCAACCAGGCAATAATTAATTATTAATTAATCAATAAAAACTGACCTCAAATTCAAATTCCCCATCCTCGATTACCCTTTGATCCAATGTTTCGAAAAATAATGGTAATTAATAAGTAATAATTAATAAATTAATAAAAACTGATCTCAGATTCGGATTCCCCGCCCTCAGTTACCCTTCGATAAAGTTTTATGGAAAATAATCTCGTCTATTTTCATCTTATTCTTGGACCAATCAGTGAAGTGCGGACACATAAGCAATCAAGCAATCAATCAAGCAAGCAGACAATTTATGTTTACTGAACTCTTCTCTACGAGAAAGAGAAAAATTGGGATGCAGGAAGTTCGCCAATATGACTTTCGCCGACCGGACTTTCGTCATTGGCGAAAGTCATGTGGACATTCGCCAGTTGGCGAAAGTCAGATGGACTTCCGCCAATACTGGCAAAATTCCGCCTTATTCTCACATCATTTTTTCTACGGTCTTGTCCATTTTCCGAAAGCCCAGTAACATTTGATCATAGTTGCATAACTCAACGCTTACCGTCACTATGTTTTATTCAGCTATTTCGTAGACTGATCGATAACTGTTACAGCACGTTTCGCACTGCGTTTACTCAAGACAGCTGATGTAACAAATCACTCAGCTAATCAAACAACAACTGATCAGCTATGCACATAATCGCAATCATCATCCTCTAGTAGAATAACACGAAAAAGTCGATCGAGAAGAAAACAGCATCAGCCACCTGCAATTCCTACAGTTGTCGCAGCACATCCAACTCTGAATGAATGTGTTTTTTTTGCCTTATCCTTCTGCATTTGTTGATCTAAAGTGCACATCGTTCGTTCCTTCACTTTCAACTTCATACTTTCATTATATTTGCTTCCCTGTGATGATGTCATATTCGAGCGTATCCTTAGTGAATTGCTCGTGACGAGTACTGCTAATACTGGCGAATGCCCACTGGACTTTCGTTAATATTGCGAAATGTCCACACGACTTTCGCCAGTATATCTCCTGAACATTCGCCAATTGGCGAAAATCAGGTGGACATTCGCCAATATACCCCCTGGACTTTCGTCAGTTATTGGCGAACTTCCGGATCCCCGAAAAATTTGAGGACTTAGGAGTATTTACTATCATCGTATTCTGATCAGTGGAATATAATATCGACGCATCAGTGTAACCAATGAGGTCAATGTTAGTATTTCAGTGTACATACTGGCACTAGCACATTTCTAGTTGAGGACTTATAGGCACTCCCATAGGATAAACCTTGAAGGCTCATGGATACACCCATAACAGACCAAATCCAACCAATTCTAGTTAATTTCAAGAGCCGGAATTGACTGTAAATGGAACTGATCCATCTCTACCTTTATCTCTGATTCTTTTAACTATATTCTTTCCTTTTTCTTGTATAAATATAATCTACAATGGAGGGGGAAGATGTACAATGCCTTGTTATTGACAATGGCAGTGGTGAGTATCGAAAGAAGAGATTCGCACATAGAACATCAATGTCTAATAAATGATTGTGTTTATTTGAAAAAAAGGTATGATCAAAGCTGGCTTTGCCGGTGATGATGCACCACGTTCAGTGTTTCCATCGATTGTTGGTCGACCCCGTCACACAGGTGTGATGGTTGGTATGGGCCAAAAGGATTGTTATGTTGGCGATGAAGCTCAATCGAAAAGAGGTAAATCAAATATTTAGAGATTAGATTGATGATTTCTACTAGCCTCTCTCTCTTTTAGGTATTCTCACTTTGAAATACCCGGTCGAACATGGTATTGTGACAAACTGGGATGATATGGAGAAAATCTGGCATCACACTTTTTGCCATGAACTTCGTGTTGCTCCAGACGAACACCCGGTCTTGCTCACCGAAGCTGTACTGAATCCAACGGGAAATCGTGAGGAAATGACAAAAATCATGTTCGAAAAATTCAATGTTCCTGGTATGACTCTCTCTGTTCGATTCTATTCTATTATTATTGTTGATTTCTCTCTCTTTAGCCATGTATGTGGCTGTTCAAGGTGTCCTTTCTTGCTATGGTAGTGGTCGTATAAATGGTATTGTGCTTGATTCTGGTTATGGTGTCACACAAATTGTTCCAATCATTGATGATGTGACTCTTCATCCAGAAGAAAAAGAAAAATTCGAGAAGACAAATGCATCGCATGTTCTTTCGGATGCAGCTCTTTGTCTTAATTTTGCTGGTTATGATTTGACCAGTTATTTGATGAAGATTTTGAATGAACGTGGTTATGCATTTACAACAACAGCCGAACGTGAAATAGTTCGTGATATCAAAGAGAAGTTATCATAGTGGAGAAAATACTCTTTCTCTGAGAAGTCGTATAAACTGCACAATTTAAAACTTCTCCGAGAATTCTCAGCCTATGCTGTGGTAAGGCAAAGTAGAGAAATTCAGAGAATTATAGATATGGTAAGGTAAGGTAAGGTAATGTAGAGAAGTTGAGAAGTTGAGAGAAGTTCACACAATTTCATATATGATTAGGTAAGGTAAGGTAATGTAGAGAAGTTGAGAAGTTGAGAGACTTTCAGATATGGTAAGGTAAGGTAAGGTAATGTAGAGAAGTTGAGAAGTTGAGAGAAGTTCACACAATTTCATATATGATTAGGTAAGGTAAGGTAATGTAGAGAAGTTCAGAGAAGTTCAGAGAATTTTAGAGATAGTGAGGTAAGGTAAGGTAATGTAGAGAAGTTGAGAAGTTGAGAGACTTTCAGATATGGTAAGGTAAGGTAAGGTAATGTAGAGAAGTTGAGAGAAGTTCACACAATTTCATATATGATTAGGTAAGGTAAGGTAATGTAGAGAAGTTGAGAGAAGTTCAGAGAATTTTAGAGATAGTGAGGTAAGGTAAGGTAATGTAGAGAAGTTGAGAGAAGTTCATATGTGGCGGGGTAAGGGAAGGTAAGGTAGAAAAGTCGAGAGAGTTTACTATATGATAAGGTAAGGTAAGGTAGTGCTAAGAAGTTAAGATAAGGTAGAGTGCCTTTTTGCGATAACGACATGCCTAGAGATGATAGACTGACGTAAGTGACGGGAGGAAATGGAGGGCGATGGAACACCAAGTTTCGCCCCTTATCGAGTTTATTCTGAGAGGTGCACACTATCTCTACATCAGCGTGCCGTGTGCAGTGCCCGATATCAAGATTCAAAGACATATCGGAGCCACTCGGTGGGGTGGGGGGAGGGGAGGTGGGTGATGAGAGTGAGTAGATAAACGGTGTTACTGGTGCGGAAGTATTTGAGTGACGCAGTGTATTGGTGTGACGAGTGCAAAATAGCTGTGTTCGGCGTTCTTTGTTTCACTTCGGTGGCCAGATTTGATGTTACCTTGTGGTACCTTATCTTAACTTCTGTGCACTAGACCACGTTACATTACCTTACTTTACGTTAGCTTTGGTTAACTTCTGGACTTTAACTTATATTACCCTAGGTTATCTTGTGTTACTTTCCCCCTGTGTTGTCGTATTCTAGTTTATCGTACTCAGCCATAATATTTATGTCATCAGCCGGAGTTCAAGTGCCTTTTCTGATTTTTCAGGGAAAGAGAATTTTCTTCGTTCTCAAACAGACAGACTAAAGTGTCTCCGTAAAACACAACGTAAGCAAGTGCTCCATCTCCCATGACTACGCAGCGGACAAGGTTTTCCTGAGAGCCCTAAGACTGCTTTTCATTTCAGCAATGAATCTCAGCAATCCATGCAAAATAAGCTTCGACGTAGAGCTATCACGTATTACTAGAAAAGTCATAATTCACTGCCTTGCTTTGCCAGACTACATCTTAACTTTTAAATCTTACCTACATTACCTTACCGTATCTGACATTCTCTCAACTTCTCAACTTCAATACATTACCTTAGCTTACCTTACCATATCTGAAATTCTGTGAACTTCTCTCAACTTCTCTACATTACCTTACCTTACCACACTATCTCTAAAATTCTCTGAACTTCTCTCAACTTCTCTACATTACCTTACCTTACCTAACCGTATATGAAAGTCTCTCAACTTCTCAACTTCTCTACATTACCTTACCTTACCTAACCATATATGAAATTGTGTGAACTTCTCTACATTACCTTACCTTACCTAACCATATATGAAATTGTGTGAACTTCTCTACATTACCTTACCTTACCTAACCGTATATGAAATTGTGTGAACTTCTCTACATTACCTTACCTTACCTAACCGTATATGAAAGTCTCTCAACTTCTCAACTTCTCTACATTACCTTACCTTACCTTACCATATATGAAAGTCTCTCAACTTCTCTACATTGCCTTACCTTACATAACCATATATGATATTGTATGAACTTCTCTCAACTTGTCTACATTACCTTAGCTTACCATATCAACGTCTCAACGTCCCAGTTAAAGTGGCCTTTTTCTGACTTCTCAGAGAAAGAGTATTTTCTCCGCTCTCGAAGTTATGCTATGTAGCACTTGATTTCGATGAAGAAACGGCTACAGCTGCAGCATCTTCAACGTTGGAAAAACACTATCAACTACCCGATGGTCAAGTCATTAGTATCGGCAATGAACGATTCCGATGTTCAGAAGCCGTATTTAAACCGAGTGTTCTTGGCATGGAAGTGGCTGGTAAGATACATTGCGTCCATTGTTCTTCTTCATCTTTTCTCTCACTCAAATTTTAAAAGGCATTCATGAAACAATCTACAATTCGATTATTAAATGTGACAGCCATATTCAGAAGCATTTGTATGGGAATATCGTCCTTACTGGCGGTAAGTAACGATATGTTTGTTCTTTTTTGTAAATTTCATTGAGATTATCAGTTGTTTAGGTACAACAATGTTTGAGGGAATTGCTGATCGAATAAAGAAGGAAATCGCTTCATTGGCACCACCGACGACGGAGATTAAAATTATTGCACCACCTGAACGTAAGTGTAGTACATGGATTGGTGGTTCAATCTTGGCTTCATTGTCGACATTTCAAAATATGTGGATATCCAAACAAGAATATAATGAATCGGGTCCATCGATTGTTCATCGCAAATGTGTTTAACAGTTTTGAAGACGAATTTTTTTTACCTGAAAGAAACATTTTTCAACCTTCTTATTTTATTTTAACTCAAAATTGCTACTTAAAAATCTTATAATAATCAAAAAAAACAATCTTTTTTCATCTGTTAAACAAAATGCTAATTCGCAAGTATGGCATTCGACATTAGATCGAACCTCTGCTTCTTTGATGCGACAATACACACAGCTGCTTCTTTTTCCTTTCACAGACGAAATGCATTTCATTATCAGAATTAGGGACAGTTCTTGATGATGCTAGTTTAGACTTCTTTTCGAAAGGAGGTGAGGGTGAGGGTGAGGGTGAGGTGTGAGTTTTACAGTTAGCACAACACGTTTCGATAGTTACTCAAGCTATCGTTTCATCAGGTAGTTTATAACCATACAAATGGTTCTTACGAAAAGAACCAACTAATGGTTAATTACCATGTTATCCATAGATAATTGTAATTTGAATGCATAGTGATGAATTGTAGAGTTACCACAACGCGTTTCGATAAAAGTCAATAATACATTGGTTACAATGGAGATGAGATTATAGTGGATATTGCAGGGAATTGGTGTGTTGAATGGAATTTTCTATAAGGATTGGTTTATATCAGTTTTGGAAGTCGTGTTATTGATCTGAAAGAGAGTGAAATAAAATAATTTTTTTTTAAAATGCTGATCAAGTTATGAGTTAGTGATGGAATAGATTATATTTTAAGGTTCTGGCAAGGCGGAAAAAGCAGAATTTTTGATTGCCCAGATTGCCAAAGATTGTCAATGATTATTATGCTCCTTTTATAAGGAAAAACCACATATTCGAGTCATTTTCAGCGACGATAAGATTTGCGTCTTGGTACATCATAAGAATACGACGATTTTACCAGTGGATTTTCATAGCAAAACAGAATGTATGAATAATAACAGTTAGATAAATTGCTATCAAATTTCAGCAATGAAGATAAAATCAAATACAAATCTCTAGTGTCTTGTGGAAGGGTTAAGTGAAGATGAGTTGAATGAATTAGCAGGTATCAGTGCCTCTGATGACGAAGGAGTATAAGTTGAAGGACACGATGATGGTACACTTGCTGTTGGTAAAGTAGATAAGATGGTGTTTGTGGCTAGTAGAGCTGAAAAAGTGATCAATTGAAGTCGTTGATCTCGTTTGTTTGCTAATTCTCTTCTCTTAGTCAGAAGTTTAATGGCATTACTGATCAGTAATTCAAGCTCTGGTTAAAAGGCAAGAGTTACATTGCTTAATGTAATGCATGTATACTTTGGAAAATATTTAGTTGTTCAGATTTAAGTTACAGTATGTCAGTGCCACCTTTACATCCGAGAAATAAGCTAATTTCATTCGGTGCTTGAAAAGCAAACAATTCTACCTCTTGCTTTCCAGAAATTTGATGAATTAAGTCACAAAAAGCGTCATCATGAAGAGCCAAAATACCAGCACGAGCGAGTGGAAAAAGTCGAATTTTTGATTGCTAGGATTGCTTTGAATGACCAATGATCAGGGCCAGGGCAAAGAGGTCAGAGCAGGGGGCGAGTATATCCAAAATGGAGAAACAGCAACAAATTTTTTGTCTGACTCGATGTTTGGAAATTTTTCTCATTCGGAGCACCTAAGTTTCCCTGAAAACCAGAATGGAAGACCTTTCTTTTCTTTCCACTTCACTTGGGTTTTTTTGGAGTACTACCTGCTTCAGCAACTGGTCTCTAGTCTCGTGGTCCAGCCGGGAATCGGAGATAGTACATCCCAAAATCGGAGACAACATTTTCCAAAATTGGAGAAAATTCCAGTAATATTTTCCAAACGCAGGGGAAAGAGTGATACTCCGGTCGCGCCGACCCTGCCAATGATTATTGGTGATTGCCAATAAGGTGGACACTTTAATTTAACTTAAAATTGAGTTTTTTTACATAGAATTTGATACTTAGTTTACGTTTCTTCTATTTAAGGCTTAATCTACTTAAAATTAGGTATCAGTGCTTGTCATACGCAAATGTCAAATAACTTTAAGATTTTCTTTACTCCAATATCGGCATACATACATAGAGCGAGAAAAATAACTCTAAATAAATTAAAAGCAAGTGTTCCAAAATGTGATCAGATACGTCCCATCTCTTTACTAGCATCACATTCGAAACTGTTTGAAAAATTAATTTTAGATAGAATCAGAGAATGGGCAGAGAAGTATCATTTAGTACCAGTGGAACAATCAGGGTTTCGGCCCAGGTGTCTTTTGCCCACAAGGGTATTGTTAATATACCAAGAAGTAAAAAACAATATGGCGGCGAACATCCCTACACTAGCTATCTATGTAGATCTACCAGAAAGCGTATGACCGTGTGTGGCATGCAGCGCTTTTAACTAAACTATGGAAACTAGGGCCACCTCTTAGCATGCTGACGATGATATTATCCTGGCTAAAAGATAGAAGAGCGTATGTGATGTATGGAGAAAAATCATCAGAACCATTCGAGATAAACATTAGTCTGCTTCAGGGGAGTAACCTAAGCCCATACTTATTCATTGTTTTCCATTGTGATTTAGTTCAATGCATTGGAACTCATTCAGGTCATATTTTTGCAGATGATTTATGTGTCATTATAAAACCGACTATCTAACCACACTGAACTAAATGGTACCATATGGAGCCGGAAAAGGTTTCGTACACGATACATGACTTTAAAAAAGTTCTGTCATTGTGCGGAACTTAAAAAATGATTTCGAAATTTGTGATGGATTCGAAATCTTTTTAAGGTTTCGTAGGTTTTCCACAAAATCTTCAAAAAAGATTCCTGGATTCTTGAGAGGTCTTTTCATAGGGCCTTAGACTCGTACGAAACCTTAAAACGTTTCGATTTCATTGCAAAAAAAGAGTTCTATATGGTTGAATTTTTTTTCAAAGCATAAGATAGACCTTGAGAATTTATGCATACCTCATAGAATAGTCGTTGAGAACTTGTGAGTATTTCCTATTAGATAGCCTTTAAGAACTTATGCACACCACCATAGGATAGCCCTTGAAAGCTTATTGGTATACCAATAGCAGACCAAGTTTAATCAGTTCCAGTAAATTTTAATTTCAATTACAATCAATTCCAAACAATTCCACCAATGTCAAGTCAAGAATCGATATTGGCTTCGATGCATCCCTAGTTAAAGGCATATGTATGTTAGCTTACTCGTTAAAAATGGGTTGAAATGGCGATAGTTGCTTGATTTTTTCCGCACTTTTATAAGTTTGCAAACACAAAAGAATTTACTTTTTTTCTCTTTCTCCCTCTCTACCGTTCTTTCTATCGTCTAATTGAAACATTATTTAAATTACCTTTGAGGAACATGTTTGGAGAGCATTCAAACTTATGAATATAAGGGGAGCGAATTGAAGAACGCAAACGATGAAACGAGTGTGTACTTTTTTGATTGCATCTCACTTCATCAAAGCAAACGGGACTAAATGTTTTCATTCTGATGATTTCTTTGACGAGAACTACTATGGGTCCAATTAAATTACCCCCTGTCGTTCTTGTTATATTTTTACTAATGTACGCCTCTTATTTTTTAAAATTATGATATATGGGGACAAAGCTTGGAACGTAGTGCATCTTATAGTATATTGTACATTCTATAAGATGCACTACGT